ACAAAATCCAAGAAATCCATACCTTTTCGATAACATGTTTAACTCGCCTGGAGCTCAGAACATCTGATTTAATCTCCTGAGGAGTTCGCGTTCGGGCGAATTTGTATCCTTCAGCTGAGTAACGCCTCAAACTGAACAAAACATTGCTCCAGCTTCCTTCCTTTAGCAAATCCAGGTCAAACGGTTCCATACTTTGAGCTGTCGTCAACGAACAAACTGCATTTCTTTTTTTCAAAAACAAATCCTCAACCACAAGAACGTCATAAGAAAAAGATCACAGAGAAGCGAATGCTCACGTTGAACGCGTACTTGTACGTGTGGTGTGACTATTGTTTTCTCGTAGATCAGATGATCACGACGATATTCCGGAAAATTTATACTGTGGACTGGGGAAAGAGGACTGTGGACTTAAGTGAGAAGTGGTCAATGGAATTCTTTCGTTCATTTAGTGAAATGAAATGATAAGCGAAAAGGAGCATAGATTTAAAATCAATGCTTAATTAAGCTTGCGTGATTTTTTCTCCCTCTCGCTGACTAAAACACTACCCAATTACCTTTCCAAAAATGAAGACTACAGGGAAGTGTTTGGTTTGAAAATGAAGCGTAATTCCCATTCAAATAAAATTTATTTTCACAAGACAGGTATTCATGTAGGGCCTTTTTCGAAAATTAGGGTTAGTGCCTCATCCCTGACCTCTCCTCAGCCCCTTCTTCCTTGTCAATTATTGATAAGGCCAGCGTTCAAAGACGGTCAGCAGTAACCCGTTGATATAAACATGGCGGACGTAATAGATCATTTTGGTCCGTTTGTTAGTTTCAACACGATTACTCGTTTTAGAGGCATTATTGCTTGTTTGGTCCTCTCAGTGGCCTATGTTGCAAGCCTGTATGTTTTAAAATCGCCTTATCCTAGGTGAGTTGAATTAATAATAGATCGAAATAGCTTATTAGAACAGTTAATGATGAAAGCGAAATTTTGACTTTATCACCACCTGTCTACGACTTGGAATGCACCGATAAGATTGTACTGTCATTTTTCTTTTTGTTGATCCCGTGATGATAACCGATCCTTATAATTGTTATACAATAGTGGGTAATGTGGGATTGGTGGTTTTCACTTTTTAGACTTAAAATCGGTAACTGATTAAAATTAATGTTTCAGTGTGAAATTTTACCCTTATATTTTATTACCCAAATTTTTTTATTTTTTACAATTTCTATGAAATTTTAGTGGTTCGCCTTGATGGTGATTAAACAAAAATAACAGACAAAATAAAAAAGCCAGTGGGATAATCTGTATGAGAAAGTCCTCAACACAAAATAAGAACAGATCATTATGCATTATAATACAGGATAAAAGTGTGCATGTCTTATGACTTGATATCTTGTTGATTCTACCTCTCAACTCAAGCCTTTTCCAAGAATTTCTTATGATTAACATCTCACTTGAATTTCTCCTCATTAATGGCAAGAGAAAATTTACAATTTAAATACAACTTATTCAATTTTTAATTCCAATTTCTTGTTCTCCACACCCCCACAGTGAGGAGACATACCTTGGGCAACTGTAGACCAGGAGTGAAATGAAAACTCAGGGGGTGGGGGGAAGAGGGGTCTCTGCAGAAAAGCAACAGTTGAAAACAGATAAAGATTGCATGCAAAAAATTAAAAATCAACTGATTGTTAAGTGATATATTGTTAACACAAAATTTTGATTAAATCATTCAATGCTAGATGTTTATGAATATTTTTCACACTGTAGGAAATCTCTCAGACAGTCAGTTAGTTTGATAATTCTTTAATGATTGTTTATAATTAGGAGCTTTGTTTTATTACTGACTTGTGACAGTGATTTTTCTGCAGAGATCATCCTAAAACTATCAAGCAGAGATTCAGAAGTGTCTTTGTCATATCTCTGTTGGCTCCGTTATATGTTTGGCTTTGGGCTGACAGATCTCTAGATTATAATGTAAGTCTAGCTTTATTACCCAAGCACTCTGTAGGAGGCTTGAGTTTGAAATTCAGGTCTATTTAGTGGCATGGTAAGAACATGTACATGCTAAGAACTCTGTGTTAAAGATTGACATGTTGCTTGTTCTTTTCATACGCCTTTCACATGGATTTGAAACTGACTTGTGAAATAAGTGCGAACATGTTATGATGACTGTGGATTGATTTTACCATCATGAGCACCTGAGTATTCACAGATATGTATCAATTTTTAGAGGTTCTGCAGTGATATTACAGTCTGTAGCAGGATCTGACTTAATTTAAGAAGTCTCTAGTACTGGGAGAGGTGTCAGATAAATGGAGTTGAGTCTGGATATTTCATATGTAGCTGTACCTGTATAAGGAAGTGAATCTGCCAATTTGAGGCATTTGTCTTTGTATCTGTCAAAATTCTTTTTCTTTTTTTGTTTTTAGGTCATTGTAAATTCTCTGTTTTACATCTGATTAAAATAACATCTCTGTTGTATTGCTTTTTAGGGTATCTCCCTTTGGAAATATATGGGAATCCACTCAGAAAATATCTTTATAGCTATTCTTTTTCCTTTGGTTTTAACATTGGTAAGATGTAATGATATTTGTTATTCCATCAAGTGTCTTCCTAACAGTAGCATTTTTCTTTTAAAAAAAGGATAAGATGTATTTCAAAATATTTACATATTTGCTTTTGTTTCTCTGCGGTAGATTTTATTTCTAGGACCCATCATATTGCTGTATTTCAGTGGTGACCCAGGGAATGTGAAAGGTAAATTTCTGTGCAATATATTCAATAATTCATGTTGAAGAGTATGGTTTTTATATATGTTACCTCAGTCACAGGAATGAGTTGGAGTGTTTTTTATTTCTCCTTTTGCCAGGCTTTCTTGAATATCCATCTAGTTGGGTTAATGCCATTAACTTGAGGAACTACCTTGTGGTAAGTTTTCAATTAAGTTCTACATATTCAATTATTTTTTTCTAAATGGGTTGTGCTTTTGGAGTGATTTCATTATAATAACTTCTTTTTGTTGTTAAAAGTTTGAAGTTCTCTTAGAAAAAACCAGTACGTCGATATTTAATACATTAGGTAGATTAGATCAACTTTGAACAATAGCAAACTAATGGCAACAGAACCACATATTGGCTGCTTCCCTTGCATTGTTTAGCAATGGTTCTGTTTGTATGTGCCAACTTTCTCTGAGCTTAAGACATGAGAATTTTCTCTTGAACAAGACCTGATCATGTCCAAAGATTCCTGAAGACTTTTGAAGATGCACCAGAATTTCTTAACATGTCCAGCCTGGCCTTTAGCTCACATTGATCCCCCCCTTCCAATAGGTTGCATTATAATTATGGGCAAATGCTGCATTATAATTACAGCATTTGGTGACATTTTGAGAAGTTAACTGTGTGCAGATTTATCAGACTAAATTATCCACAATTTCTCTCAAGTTTTACATTCATTTTTATAGGCTCCCCTCACAGAAGAGCTTGTGTACAGGGCATGTCTTGTTCCTCTGTTAGTTCCAGGGTTTGGAAATGCCATGCCAATTTTTATTTCTCCATTATTCTTTGGAGTAGGTGAGGCTTAATTACAGGCACTGTAAGTTAGTTAAGATTCTCTTGAGATTCACAGTTAAACAGCATTATTTTTCCTTCAAGCATGTTTCTTTCAGAATAATTAATTTCACCCTTAAGCCTGGGTTAAACGAGTTATAAACTGTTGAAAATTAATGAAAAAGGTGAACTTAAATGAGATGGTACATACAAAACAGAGAGATCAAACAGAAATATGTGTGAATAACAAATTAGCAGAGATTTGAGGAAAAAGTGGTGCACAAATGGGACTCAAGGGTGAATTTTCAGCCAATGACATTATCAAACATACTAAGGGCTATTTACTTACATTTTTTGACAGTTTTAGTCTGCCTCCCTGTTTGTGTTCAAAAGAGAAGTTGAGAATTGTTTGTTTCAATATGTAACAAAATTTACATAATTCATGTTGTTATTAGCTCATATTCACCATGTCATTGAAAGATTACAACAAGGGGAGAACCCTAAAGATGTATGGTCAACTGCAAGTAAGACATCCATTGTGTAGTTAATTAATAAATTGTAAGTTGTAGAATCAATGTTTTGAAATTGCTGCAAAACAGAGCAGTAAATGAGTTGTTTGGTGATAAATTTTCAATAGATGTGTTGCAGAAAACTCAACCATGACAGAATAATTACAAGAGTGGTTTCCAGAGGCATAGGGCATCACAAGTATTAATTTTTCAACAGACTGCATTAACAATGATGTAGACCTTGACTAGAATGATGAGTGCACTCTAATGTACAATAGATTCTGTTCCTTTAGATCCAGTGATTGCCATTAAAAGCTCATTATAAGTTTGTTTTGCTCATGGTTGAAGCTGCTCTTTTGCATTCAGTTTTTCAGTTTGGTTATACAACAGTGTTTGGAGGCTATACGGCTTTCTTGTTTTTAAGAACTGGTGAGTTTATAGTCAGTAGTACATTAAGTCAGCCATTCAAATATTCACTTAATAAATAATTAAGATGGGTCAGCAAAGCTGTCACTCGATCCTTCACCTAGTCAGTTAGTGGGTAGGATGGTCAGCCAGTCATTCACTAGGCCAGTCCAATCAAACTGTGTGTCAGATAGTCAGGGGTCAGTCAGCTAATCTGGAAATCACACAGTTGTTCAGTTGGTCATCTGTTAGAGATATACCAGGTTATCGGTCAGTAAGTAGGTAAGTTGGTCTCTCTGTCAGTCAGTCAGCCCACTGATCTTTTTCCTCATGGCAGTAATCGCATTGAAGTTTGTTTGATGTTCTCACTCCCGTGTAGGTCATCTAATTGGTCCAGTTTTGTGCCATAGTTTTTGTAATTTCATGGGATTTCCTCCTCTTGATCAAGTACCAAGCTCCAAGTATCCACGAAGTGAGTCAGTCTTCCGAAAATACAGTGAAGATTAAATATCAAAGAGATCGTCAGAGTACTTTTAAACTGTCATAACTAATCAAGGATTCCTTTGGGTTTGCTTAACTTCACTCTGATTCGTCAAGAAAATGTGTCCTATCCTTTTAGCCAATCGGATGCAAAACTAGAATCAACCACAACTTGGTAACTAGTATTTTCGTGCGCTATAGACGCTTGCATTATTTTTTGCTTTGAGTTTTCATAGGCTTCTTATCATGTTTTTCTTTTATTGTGATTGGTGGTGGTGAATAATTTTGACTGGTGTTAGATATGACTCTCGTTCGGAAATTGTACTAATTGCAATCCATGATCACTCCGTGGTCGTGACTAAAAAGAAAACACGTCCCGAAACAAGCGTTTACAGCACGTGATTATGAAATAGTTTTTTTTTGTTGCCGCTGGTCGCAAACATACTCAGTGGATTTTTGATAAACTAAGGGAGGTGGAGAGTTTTCAAACCCTCTGAAGTTACCATTAGACTGTTATGAAATAAACATGCCCCTTCCCTTGGAATATGTCATAAAGCTCGGCAGTAAAAGTTTTCCTGATTGATCCTGAGACTTTGTTTTGTCTGTTGCAGTCATAAGCGCTTCATTTGTGGCCGGACTGGTAGTGTTTCTTATCCTGGCTGTACCTCTAACAAACCCAGTTTGGTACAATTCTGTATATTATTCCTTGCAAGCCAATGATGTGGAAGAATGACTTCCTAACAGGTCATTTTTTAACAAAAACATCCCGAAGACGTCTGTACGTGGAATCGATCGCTATCGCAGAATTTTTAACGTTTATTTAGGGTATTTCTTCCAAAGACCTCACCCTCAGTTATATGTAATTCTACCCGTAACAGAATGGCATTTTGAAGTAAAATATTTCTAGAAAATTAAAATATTTAATGAACGCGGTGATCGAGGTAATTAAGTTACTTAACAAATGGATATGATAGTAATCAGTTTTTGCCATTTGTTCGGATAGTGGTAAATATCATGAAAAAAGAAATATTTAATGAAGTAGAAGATTGAACGAAAATCAGCAGTTGAGACGTCAACTGTCTCGTGCTATATTTATATACAAACAAGGCATCCAAAGAGCTTCGTGCAGATTTCTTTTCAATCATAATTCACTCTTTGTTAATACTGATGTCAGATTTCTAGTGAGATGAAACGTTTTGTCTATGTTATTAAAATGATATAAAGGTAAGAAAATGATGCGTGTTAACGTCGCCTCCTCTGAATTTTCAAGACTGAAATTCGCAGATCAATCGCATAGGTTTCATTAAACAGGCGTGTTACTACACTTAATTCCCAAAGACTTGCTTGCCCCTTTTACACTGGATACCTAAGAACTAGCAGATACCCTAATCTTTCTTATTCGTGGGTCATCCGTAGAAATCAAAATCGTCATCATCCTCTTGATCCATTCCTCCCGTGCTCAGCTGTAAATCTACTTCGGACTCCGTGTCTGAGGTATTCCAGAAATCTATGCAGGAAAAAATACAAGAGACTTAGTCAGAATGATAGTAACAAATAATCAAAAGCTAGTAACAGCATTGAAATTGTTACCATGCCCCGAGTGGCACTCAGTCTTATCGCTCACTTTCCTCGGTCGAAATACTGCATCAGGAACCCCCACCTGAAATTTTCTTTCAAAGGATTCATACATCTAGAATTATTGAAGCAAAATAACACGGTCTTACTCGCCATGTTTTCTTATTATTCAAACCTGACAAAACACGTTCATCTATTCTAAAGTCTTAGAATTTTAACTCATATGTTTTGGCTGTTGTAAAGCAAAAACTTATCAAGTTATCGAGGAAGCCAGTGAGGATTGTTCAAATGAAATACCTGTTTTTCGTTTGGCTTTGGAGTCAGTAAAGGACTTAGGCTCACTCTTATCATTTTCCTTGTCAACTTTATCACCGTTTTGCTGTTTTTCCAAAGCAGTTGGCGTGTATCCAATCACGTCATCCGGCGATAACGGAGGTGATGCTAATGAGTCAGAATCTGAAATGTCGGATTTGAGAGACTTTAGAGATGTTCCTTCACAGCTATCACCCACGTCTTTGTTAGTTTTTCCATCTGCATCAGTTTCAAACAAAGAAAGTTTTGGTTTTTGTTTCCCGCTTTTTGAATAGTTCTGCGATTTCTGACTAGGTAACGTCGTAGGCGGGGATATACTCCGTGCCAATTCCCTCTCAACATCTTCGTCAGCCTCGCTTTCTTGTTTTTGCGGTTCAGTGTTAGCCAGCGGATCACTGATGTCATCATCAGGTTCAGAGTGAGCACTGCTCATCATTTTAAGGTACGCAGGAGTTTCGGTGAGGGGAACTTCATCTTCAAAATCATCCTCGTACGAGACCGTTGGGTCTGGTGTCGGTTGGCGATTCTGATCCTTGGATTTACTAAAAAAAGGTGTTAATTGACATAAATCATTAAGTTTTTACAGTTATCTATGGCGAAAAGTGGACGCAAAATAGTGTCATTGATTCTGCCAGGCTTCAGAAACATTGCTTAAATATTCTTTGCCGAAATAAAATGGCAACAGAATAAAAGGGAAATTGAAAATAAAGACAGAGTTCCTTTTAACCCTAGTCTCTAACCCTTTTTCTATTCAACTATTGAATTGCTTGGCATTGATAAAGCGATGATTTACATCCCCTCTGTATAAATATTGATGAAAATAAATCGAAATAAGTTTTCAAGCACTAAAATTACCCTTTAAGGTTAGGAGCAAGGAAAACTGTGACTGGCACGAATAAATCGTGCTTTAAAGGTCAAGAACACACCCTGTTTAGCCAATGAGATTTTGCACTTCGTAAAGCGCACGCATGCTGAATATTTCTTACTTTGGAATGAATATCACTTACTTTGGCTCCATTTTGGGTGGAGTAGAACCCAGTGTACTACTAGAAGCTTCAGTTGCGATTGATACCTCATCATCATCCTGCTTAGGTGGCGCCTCATTTTCAAATAGAGGCTTATGATCCGACTCGTGACCAAGGGGGGGAGCAAGAGGGGAAGCTGAGCGACTGCTGACATTTGAAACTGCTGCTTCAAGTATTCTACGCAGAAGCTGTTGGCTCTGAAAAACAAAAAGGTGACATGTTCTGTGAAAACTGAACTAGGAAATGAATTTTCATAAACAAAGTAGGAGACCGTTTAACGAATTGATTAAATTTAGAAGTTTATCAGGGAATGCAGGATGAGTAAGGTCGGCCCTTTTGATCAATCGGCATTACTTTGTCTGACATGCAAATGAAAAATGTCTGAATCGAGGCAAACAAAATAAGTCTGCCTGAAAGTTTAAAAGAAAAGCGACACTAAAAATATAATTTAAATGGGCGTCTTTCAATTGAACAAATAGACGAGACCCATTATAAACAAATATCTTTATTATTTTTAGAATTAATTTTTCCCTGTTCTCGAATGTGTTGCTCAGTTGACGTAAATTGTGCGGGATAAATAAACGTAGGCGTGTATTAGTAAGGAGCACTATCGCACGTCTCAAGTGGAAAATTTACCGAGAACTCAATAATGTTTTAGAGATAGGAAGGTGGTTGGCATTTTCTCTAAGTAATATTCTTTTTTTGAAACTTGAACCACAAAACTTTATAAGAAAACTTTTCTGCAATTCAAGTATTATCTTAGTTAGCAGACACTATTATGAACCAAAGGAGTAGAGGTAGTCAAAACAGGTGACACACTGTTGTGGAATGAAACCACTTCAGGAGTGTTTTGTCTTCAAGGCACTGACCTATACAGGTCACAGGAGACATCTGCTCAATCTTTCTATACCATTAGAATAAAGCCGTTCTGTTAGTTTCTTTCTGCGTATGTTTATTGCAAAACTGTCTTTTAGAGGGTCATTCAGCAAACAAGAGTCAGATTGAAAGCTTCAGGGAGTAATGCTGTTTCGTAATCGATTCCGCATCACAGCATGTCTCTCCTTTCAGACTATATGCGTCGTCACATTAACGGCTTAAACAGTGATACCACAATAATCGACTTTGAGAATATGTTAGGAAATATTCAAATATCTATCTACCCTGAAGGAGATAACTAAAGATATCGGCTTCTGAATAGCTTTAATACTCAAAGTAAAAAATACAGACTACGCGACAGGCCTCGGCTAGCAAAATAAAAGCTGGTGATAATTGGGCCCGTACAAGATGAGTAAAGCAAACTGCTACAAGGCGAAAAATACATCAGTTGGCGATGTTTTGTAATCACCATTGAGTAAGTTAAACTTCCCAACTGAGCAGAGGAATTCGGAACAATATATCAAAACCCTTTAACTTCAATTTGGGTGAAGACAATGCTGACCGCAAAGTTCTACTGAATAAACAAAATATTTGCACAACGACCGCAAACTGTAAGAATAACATTGCCAAACTGTAGAGCCAAATTCCAAAACTCAAAGGTAATAATCTCTCTTAATATCGATTGCATAAATCAATTCGACATGGCTAGACGTTTAATCTGTTCCATGCACTGTTCTCGTACCTTCCACGCTGGAATTTAATGCTGATAAAATCCTTTTCACCAGATTTGCATAAAAATGGTCGTAGGTTAACATTTGACATTACTGTTATCAGTTCAATGTTGATTTCGAAGGTTTGGAGGAATTAGAGGCATAGAGGATAAGTGTAGAATATTTTGGAAATAAAAAAATGCCACATCATTTCATTTTAGCGATTTCGTAAAGATGTCATCTCTAATTAAGAACCAGCTGGCGTGGTAAGCAGAACACGAAACTCAACGATATGCAAAAAAATTCTATTGAATTGAAATGCACTGAACCTTTAATCAATCAATATCAAAAACACAGACAGGACTTGAGCTTTCTCTTTGAAAACTCGAAACCACCGGAAAGGCCGACCCCAGACGTTTTTCTCGACTTCCATTTTTTCACTAAAAGACCGAAAAATCGTTAACGCTCGGCTGGGAAAAGGTAAGCGCTCCTCCTCGCTATTTCTCATCAATAGGTTTGAAAGTTGAAAATACTGTATACTATCAGAGGCTCCCTTTCCTCATTCCCAAATAAGGTTTCGTTAATAAACTTTGACTACCGTGATTATTATTTTCCTATCTTTCAAAATTTGATATCGTTGATGATAGTTTGTAGAATAAGGATTTCTGGGAAGAAAGACCAACGTTTTGAAAATGAGAGAAAAAGAACGAAAGCAAACAAGTCCAAAAGCAAGTGGAAGATGTCTGACAAGTACTTCAAAAATATAACAAGTTTCAGCTCTCTATTGTAATGTTTGTTGTTTCGTTTAGCCAATTTATGATTTTACGGGTCACTTGGTTCGCTTAGATTGACAGGCATACCACTCCCTGAACTACACTTAAACTGATCATCTCAATCATAGCTACCTTCTAATTAGTTACTGGTGCAGGGTAGAGATATCAAGAGAAGAGAGAGACCCTTCTCTAAGCAACCAAAAGCGCCGTTTCAATTTATTACACGTGGAAGAATGGCAACCCGGTTTGTTCACTGTCTCATATTCTACGCATTTTGTCAGATTATCACCGGATTCATATGGACACCAGAGAAGGGACAATTGAAACATGAAGAGCGTAAGTTTGTTCGTTGTGGTTGTTGATGTCTTTCAGAATTTATGCGGCTTTATAACGGTATTCTGACTTACATCTACAAAGGTTTAAGTAACTTTCAACTTTTAACACAAAGTGATCTCAAAACAATAAGTTTACAGAATGTATAAGCACCAAGAGGATGTGAGTATTACAAAAGATGGTGGACTGAGGTTACCATGTATTCTGATGGATGATAAACGGCGATCAAAACTTAAACAAACAAAACAAAAGTTTAACTGAATCTTTCAAAATGTAGCAGTAAAATGCGAAGTGCGCCTATTTCTTTTTTGTTATTGAAATAGCCCTTTCGTTTTACCCACAAGTTGGTTCCTCTTCGATTTCTTTCGCAATTAAGTGCCACCTAAGGCTTTAAAATACTTCTTTCCTGCAATCTGATTGACACACTCAATTCCACGTCCACGTCAGCGAAATAGTAACATTTTCTAGAAGTTCAACAAAATCGATAGTCTGGGAAATTAAATTACATGCATCAGTGCACTGAATTGTGTCCATCTGCTGCGCAGATAAACCAGCAGAGTACATTCTAGAACAAAGTAAAGTTATCTTTCTGAGTTACTGTTTACACAGCAAGCAATACAAAAACAATAGGGCAATACAACTAATTAATTAAAGGAGATTTCGCAATCACCTCTCCAAACGTTATCTCTTGACGTAGGTTGTGGCTATTTGTTCAGAGCATCAATCTTATTATCGGTAATTATGTATAACAGTATTCCTATCAAACTTTTTTTAATCAAAGTGATGAGTAACGATACAAACTTTCATTTTTTCCACTTGGAGTCATTATAATCTCCCTCTTAACTCCCTAATGCTTCTACAAGTCACTGTCACGAGTTGAAAACTGTTCGAAAAAGGCGACATCGGTGCTACTTCTGGGAAAAATGTGTCCGGAGGACCTAAGCAGATAATGAAGAAACATGAAATTTCCAATGAACGAAGACACTCACAAATATACCCGGTAACATGAAGGTAATTCTACCTCCACATGATAATACACATCTTGACGGACATCAAACTTTAATGATGTTACGATTGTTAATACCCACATATCAATTCCTCTGCCTCGCATGTCCTCAATTCAAGGCACGATAAAACATCCGTGTATACGCAACCCATATCTCGGTTAAGAAACGTCTGAGACAAGATTCCAAATCATTTAGTTCATAGCAGTCTTGCCCATGTAACGGGCCGCAGTGCCAAGGCCTCACCCACTCAAACGTTTTTGCCAGAAAGGCAGCAGATTTTTTTTTTCGAAAAAGGAAAAAAAAAAAGAAACATCACCATCTATTTCAACGTGAGACTCGAGTTTCTTATTTCCGGTTGTGACGGCTGCTAATAAGCCTTCTACCAGCACTCAGTCAAAAGAGCCGAGGAAAGACTCGGACAATCGAGAAACTGCGAGTTCCTGAACGACGGGAAGGAAGGATTATTTATTTTCCCTTCCCATCTATCATTTTCCCGAGCCCTTTTTTTCTTATTCACGTTTAGGTCATTATGTAATCTGGCTAGAGCGAAGGGCGCGACAAAAAAAAAATTGGCTCAACCCCTTTGCCCTTGAAGTTTTTAAAAATTACTTATGACTCACGGATTCCCAGCGCGACGCAAACGAAAAGGGAACTAACGTAAGGAGATAAACGTTTGAGTACATTTAGTGGTAGATTTCCATTGGAGCCACCCACGTAATGACAGCCGGCCCGTCGCGCTTTAGAACGCTCATCGTGCAGCCCAGACAAAACTGTCACACGCACGTGGGCGCTTATTATCAGCAAGGATTCCTTCCTGCGGGTAAAGTTTCTCGTATTTTTGCGATGACAGAAAAATCGTGCGCACTTGTTATAAACTGAACACAATTTTACTTCTAGAACGTTAAACTAAAATGAGAGCTATTCAAGTTTGTGATTTTTCCATCAGATTTCTAGGACTTGTCCAGCATTCTAACCGTTTGTCTGCATACTAAAATTTTATAACGTGATATAACTTAAGTCAGAAAATATGGAATGCCGTCATTTTCACATTTCCATGGAATTCTGTCAGGTTGACGAATAATTCAGTTGCAGTCAAAAAGAGGTTTAGAATAATGTAATAAACATTTGAATCACACCACGTTCCGTTAAACCATATTAAGTGCATTCTTTTGGAGGTAGGAGTGGTATTTTTTACCATTTTGCGTGATCTCAAATGCATTCTACAACCATCGAAGTGTCTGGAGTGTATTCGGATGTCAAACGACTACATACGATAGTCACGAAAACCTTTTTCTAAAATTAGACAACAAAACCTACCCAAGTCTCGAATTCCAGCTGAAAAAAAATTGTGGAACATCGTTGACAGTAATTATATAATAGTCACGAAAATCTTTTTTTCTAAAATTAAACAACAAAATCTGAGCAAGTCTCGAATTCCAGCGGAAAAAATTGTGGAACATCGTTGATAGTAATTATAACTAGCTGTCTGTTCAGACCAGTCCATTCAATAAGACTATTTTGTTACTTTAAATCAGAAGCAATGACTTTTTTTTCCAACTAGTTCACGCAACATTAAAATACTCTCAAAAGATGGAGGCCAGAAAGAAAGTTTTCGTCACTACAATAGCCACAACTTAGAGCAGCTTTCAGTCATTTTTAGCAAGTATATGTTTCAGGTTACCACATTTAAGGAACAACACCAGGCCATTTTTTATCTTCATCGAATGTCTTCATCCTTCTCCATACTCATAGTCTCTCGTGCATTTCAAACCATACTTTTCTATAACGCTATCGACATTGCTGATCCTAGCAGTATACAGGACGCGTGTGCTATGAGCTTCGTAATAGACCTAGCTCACCGCAGAGTCTCTGTGGCTCAGTGGTAGAACATCGAAGAGCGGAATCCAAAGGTCTGAGGTTCCGTTCCTCATGGGGACTCAGTATTTTTCTTCGTCTCACACTCGTGACAAGACGAAAAACATCTTTCTCTATTTCTTTACCGCGCTCAAAACTTGCCATATTCCACGTACTTTTCCATGTTATAAAACTAATCTTAGATTCCCCTACTTCGAGGACAATATCCTTAGTCAAAAAAGCGAATTAACATCCTCCTTTAAAATGTAAATGTTTGTTTTGGAAATGACTAGCAGAAAAGTGCCGAAGATGTAATTCATTTTAAGAATGGATTTGCAAAACAAATTCCATTTCTAAGAATTGCATTTTGATGGATCTAGAAGACGCAACAAACGAGAAAGTCTTAACAAGAAAACAACTACGTAGAACATCTCGCCAACTTCATGTATGAGAATAAGCAAGAAAGTACACAACAAGCAAACAATTTAACGTAATATTTTGGTTTTTGACAAGCCCATTGTCAAACATAACAAGGACCATAAAGCGTCGAGCAAATAAGGAGAGCCAATAAGGAAAGAGTGTCACAAGCTAATAATGGTAACAAGAAAGCAAAAAACAAGAGTTAGGGACAACGTAGAACAAGATGTAAACTGCTAAACTAAAACGATACGACTTCTTTGACAGCCACAATTAAGTAGAGGGTTGTACCTGTCAATCAGAGGAGATTCCAGGAAACACAATTGGTTATTTTTATTGCACGCAATAATTGTTGCGTTGTTTAAAACAGTTTCGTGAACATGATGTAAAATTAGCTTCATCGAGTTTGTTACTAAAACACTACGGTAAATGATATAGAGAAAGTCTTCATAAACCGGCGAAGGAAAACGATGTCGAGCTTAAAGAGACTTTACATCCTTTGTCCTTAGTCGTTCTCTATCTTTTCAAATGTATAATGCAATTATGTTTAATCCTTTATTAAGAGATTGTCAAAGTTGGCGATAACTTCATTAAATAAAGTATGTGATCATTTAATCCATATGGTAGCGTTACAAAAAAGATAATAACAAGATATTATACTGAAAATTCTTGCTCTTAATCTTACTTAGTTTTTACTCTCCCTCAATTTATTTGATTTACGAGGGAAATACAAACGTTTTCACCTCACCCTCATAGGTCGAAAGGGCACTGTCAATATGAGTGCCGAGCAAAAGATGATAATGGTGTGATATGGTACCTCACAAAGAGAGCACTAAGAATGTTTACGTTCTGTGGTCGCTTACTGACGAATGTTGTCATCTTTTAACCAAGTAGACAACTATTTTCGTGTTTTGGAAATGTTTGCATAAGCAATCGGACCAAATAATATTGAATTCACAGAGCCCAACAGGATTCATACTTAACACCGTTGTATACATTAGAGCGCTTAAAAACGACCACTACCAACACACTGTGATGAATTTATCACACTTCACCTGCAAAAGTGATCAATGGAAAAAATACCCCGCGGCATCACTTATTTAAACATTTAAACCCTTAAAACAGCAAAATGCCCCCAGCAGCGCTTTCATGAATATTTATCACGGAAAAGTGCATTCAAGATTGATTTTCAAAGTCAAGAAACCTTTCCTTTGATAGATCAGTGCCAAGAATACTTTCACCATCAATCATCCAAAGGGCACTCTGTAAAGAGCATCTCATACTATCACGAATGGAATCATCCACAATAAAAAGCCTTTTCAACATCCATTTGCGTTTTGAAGTGTTTGTCAGCACTCTTCTAGGATTACTGACGTTCAACTTTGTAGGTCGCACGAAACAGCCGCTAATGTACAGACATTGAAAAAAAAAAGGGGGCGAAAACAAATTCGAGTAATTTTATAGGTGAAAAATTGAGCAGGAAAATATGCGCTCCGTTGAACTTTAAAAAAGGTCACTTAATGGAGTTAAGTACTGACCCCGACACGATAAAAGACACATGTCAAATGAGCTCCGCAGAGAATTGAGAAACGGTGATAAATCGAAGATAACGAACTCAACTAGTTCTTACTGAGCACCACTTAGAAAATGATAAATAGATGAAAAAGATAAAGAATAAACTTTATTGCAATTTGTCAAAACTGCTTAAAAAAAGAATGCAAAGTAAGATATATCTAGGTGTTTATCACATCTTAAGTATAAATCGTTCGTTTAATTCTGTCTATAAAAGTTACGATAGAAAACGAAAAATAAAAAAATGGACCCAAAGGGAAAGGTTATGCTGAAATATAATCCGGAAATTTGGAAAGAAAGAATTTAGGAATAACGTCTTCTCGAAGAATCGAAAACCGCCGCTAATTACAATCTATGACCTCTATCACACGAACTTCCATTACGTACTGAGCTGTGTCTTAGAGCTGGTTGCTCCACGCAAATATTAACATTCACACCCACTTGAATCATTAATAAAAGGTGTGTCAAACATTTTAGGAGCGAGCTAAATCGTTAATGTTTTCATGCGGTTGGGCGTAGAAATTTCCACTTGTTGGACATTAGATAGCCAGGCGGCAAATGAAGAGCCTTACTCAAATTGCAGTAAAAAAGGATTAACAATACAAAAACTTGTCGTGATTATATCAGATCAAAGAAAGTTATGCTTTTATCGAATGGCAACTTAGGGTTTTATTAAACAAGCAGGGGGTATCACCACTACATAATTTGTATCACCTTAAATGGAAAAAGGCGATAGTTTAAAAGAAGTATGAAAATTAAGGCTTTCAAAATACCTCTTTGCCCGGTCTCTGGTATATTTTACGATTTAACTTCCCACACTTAAGATAAAACTGAACGATTTTTCGGTGAAGTTGAGCAAAAATACATATTTAGATTTGTTTTGATGCGGTATTGATATGGTTGTAAATTTAGAATCCTACAAATGTCAAATACGCTAACCTGTGGCAAATAAGAAATATTAAAAAAAAAAAAAAAAAATGAACAGCCGTTTTCTTAATGGATCCAGACTACACAACTGGTCAATTTCTCTCAATATTTTTCCCTTAGAGCTATACAAAACAAAATTTTGGGTGGATAGAGCTTCCCATTTGTTATACCATAGTGAAGCTACTTTTGTGTCCTTAGGAAGCTATCAAGAGAAGTTCAGCAGTTTCTAGAAGTACAGCCGAAAATCAATTTTCAACAATTAAGGGCGTGAAACACAAACCAAATTCAGGAAGTTGTATCAAGTGAAACTATCCTGTTAACACCCATCATATCAGAAAAACAATTGTTTCTCCCGCAACATCATTAGTCTCGCGAGAAAGCTGGAAACTCTACGTCTGTCGTAGAGACCCAAGGTGTGAAAACTGCAGTGGTAACAAACTTCAGGAGAATTTCCAAAGATGATTACCGCTAAACTATTTCTCTTGCCATTAGCGGTTGCACTTTCGCAGTGTTTTGTCTGGGAGAGAACGAAGAAAAGTGGCATGTCCTTTTACTCACGTAAGTGTTACCTAATTCACGCCGGTCAATACTCGTTACAGTTCTCGCGAACTGGTTTATTATGCGATTCAAGACACGACAATTGAATTATGGACGGTAGACCATTTGAAGAGCGATCACTCATACGTTGAATGATTATAATTGCTGGAAAAAAAATAAAAGCATCAAAGTAATCGTGCAGATTACCATACAACTGTACCAATCATTCAGTCATAGCCAAGGAACCAACTTGCGCATTGAATGCTACCGATTCCCCACCGAAGTTATTTTGAAAAATCGACCCCAACCATCCAAGCCGTAGGTTATGAAGAACCGTAATGCTACTGATCAGTAGACTTGTATTAATTTTCGCATAATTTTGGGAAACTAATAAGGTCTGGAATACACTATTATTTACTGTCAACTGAATTAAATACAGGTTAATGCTACGTGATCAGCCATAAACCAGACACTTGTGTCATATTAGTACAAAGTACATAAGTACAAAATACTGCCCCGTACAAAAAAAAGGAAAATTAATCCAACATTCTGTATTCTGTACGGTGCCTTTAAAATAAACATCGTTTGAATTGTGTGACAAAACAATAGATAGCCTCAAAGACCTTGACAATGACAAAATTGCAATTACTTTCACAGGAATACAAAGAGTGCCAAAGGAACGAGTCACTGCTAGGAAAATTGAACAATTCTTCATCCAAAATGGGAGACGACACCGACGAAATATTGATCCGCCTGAGTACGACGTTGTTCTCGTGGTCGACGCCTCCAATTCCATTCGACCGCACGATTTTCACAGAGGCATCAAAGCTCTGCAGACTCTCATCGACAAAGCAGACCCAAATACGCATTATGCAGGTATTGTGTATTCTAACAAAGCAACCGTCGCCTTTGACTTCACCGATCTAAGAACTGCCAAGCATTATCTGCGCACTAGAGTGCGTTTCATTGGCGAAAAGACAAACACACAAGACGCATTCCTCAAATGCCGGACAAAGCTCTTTCAGAACAAAAATTCCAATTTACGACCACGAGCCAAAAAACGCGTTCTTCTTCTCACTGATGGCAGTTCAAACATGCACATCCACCTCACTCTGTACCGCGCCTTTCAACTGAAAATACTTGGAGTTGAAATCTTTGCTATTGGTGTTGGGAATTACATGCCTGGTATACAAGAGTTGGTTGGTATTGCTAGCAGCACAGACAAACACCTGTATCGTGTAAGGAGCGTCTTGTCATTACTGGACATCGTACGGCTTATTCCACCGTGGAGGTACATGCACCAACATCAGTTACCGTGGCTTACGGATAGGTACAATCAAGAGTATGATGACATTAATACCTAAGACATCGTAAATACCGTAAATCCTCGAATTAACAACCTTCCTTAAACAAACCCCTCGAATAAGCGTCTCTCTTAAAACAAGCGTCCATTTAACCTGCCCCCCCCTCGTTTTTATGCAAGAATGATCCTGGTCGCCAAACTAGCCAAGTGCGCAAAACAGATTCGATTTGCTCTTTTGCACTCAGCGTGTACGGTCTGGGAAAAAAAATCAAGGATAGCTACTGGCGCGTTATTGAAAGTTTAGTATCAGCTTTGTACATGTATACACAGTTTATGTTGCTCTTCACGCATAAATCTAATATCACAAAAAACGATCATATTTGCCCGTGATTCTAGGCCCAAGGAACTAGTTATAGAGGATTACGGTGTAGACATACGCATTCTTTCGTGCAAATATGGAATAAAACTTTTTCTTCAACAACTCGGATGATTTATGTGAGACTTGAAAGTTCGCATTCCTTATTCCCAGCTTTGTATTTAATGAAATGATGTTAAGTGTAGACTCGTAAGTTAGATCTAGTTTTCTTGTTAAAGATAACAGTAACCTTTGGCAAAACGATAAGAATCGAGTTACCATACAAGACGGGGAGCTGCCGTAATATTCACAAGGAGACTAGTGTCAGATTCACGGTTGAGCCGCAGCAGTGTGTTGCTAAAAAATATATGATGTGTTCGCTCATGGGTATCACAATATAGCCTTCTGGGATTCGTCGCAGACAATAACTGCTAGAGACATAATACCTTGAGGTAATTTCTTTGACACAGTGTGTTTCAATTAAGAAACATCTTTAAAGTGTTTTTGCTGGATTATAGTTTCTCTATTCATTTCGTATCATGCTGAGATAGTGATAAGCCCTACCTAAAAAACAACTTAAGTAATCGAAGTGAATGATTCAAATATTTTTGGAGATCTCTTCTTCGAGAAGTGTAAGGAAGATCGTTAAGTTAAGTTAAGATAAGTTAAGTTAAGATGCAATTTCTTAAGTCCTGCTACGCTCTACCTGATAAAAACTCTTCAGCATCGTAAAAAGAATACTTCCTGTATACATGGAGACTATCAGTACCCAAACGTGTGTTATCTCGAACTGCCAATTTTTTTTAACACAGTTTGTTTCAATCAATAAACATCTGTACACTATTTACAGCATTATTATTCGTTTTGTATTATGCTAAGATAAGATACGTAGTACTTAAAATAAGTTAAGTAATCACAACAATAATTTAATTATGTTTTGACGTTAAAGGAATGCTTCGCTCTGTATATGTGTTTAGGATAATTGCCGCATCCAAAATGAAATTAATACGCAAAACAGACTTGTAACCCTGAGACTTCGATAAAAATAACACCAAATAACATCGACCATAATTCACGTCCTAATTACATCAAGGTAAACGACAGTGATGAAAGTTTGGTAATATCCAAAGCAGCGACAGAATCTTAAATTATGAAAAATGCTACTACTATTCGGTTTTCTTTGTTCGTGTAATTTCTCTTAGTCTCAAATTTAAATTTGTTCAAGAGCCATCGTCAGTTAAAAATAACTTTCTAAAGCCAGCACTTCACCGCTCTCTTTCGGTCTACAAGAAAACTGACTAGATATGACAGCGTGAGAATAATCGTTTGTGACTCGCCATGGTGAAACAGTACTGATTTGATTTATCTAACTGTTCTTTAACTTTTTTCGCCACTTAAGAGCTCTACTCGCCGAATAAATTCAACAAGATGATTGTCAACGAAAATGACCTTAACCTTTCACGTGGCACTAACAATATAGGCATCAACAACCGCATAAGTTTTGATAAGCCAAATAATGACTTGGGAATGACACTTATAGGGTGCTCTGATGGTGTGAAAAGGTACATGTATGCCAACAGAAGTTTCTCCTAAAAGATACTTATATTTGAGTGTTTATCAAAGGATTGTGATGGCATCTTGAAAACAGCTAGAAAAAACACACATAAGTACAGGAGTATCAGATTGTCAATGACAATTTATTTTGGCTATCACCTATAACAGTGTGCCGAAGTAAAATTTTCAGGAAACTACCCGAACATATACCAGGGACCTTGAAAACTACGGACAATTACATGCATTTCATCAGTAACTACGAAATTGCTGCTCTCAAAAGCTCAAGTGGCACTTGTACACCTCAACAAGAGAAAGTGAAAGAGAAAACGGGAAAATGAAATATCGGGCGCGTGAAACGCGAAAAACGTTGGCGGGAAGCTCAGCGTTGTGAGAATGTCATGTGCGTGTTAAGTGTCCCACCAAAACGACCAATAACGAATCTATACTTATATTTACCACGCGAATACATCCTTCTCAAAACCCAATCAATTTGCACAAGCATGAGGTAGTTTTGAATATAAAGATTTCTTTGATACTCAGCTCACTGCGAGGTCAAGAACTCGTTATAAAGTCACAACAACATAACTACACTTGAGTGAGTGTTTGAGGTTGTATCTTTATTATCGTAGTAGCGGTAACCTCAATCTGTTTTGCAAAATGATTGAAACTTGTTGCACCACGATTTCGATTTTTTCCCATATCGGTCTCAAAGAAGCTAATAAAAAAAAGTATGCTAGCATCGATCCAATTTAACACTAAACTAACTCTTCTAGCTACATGCTAAATATAAAATTATTCAAGAAGATTCCGTCACACGTAAGTCTTTTTTAACTAGGGACTTTTAGGACTGTACAAGTTTCTTTCAGTAAATGATAGTGACGAAGTAAACGCAACCTGATTTGCTTCTAAAATTTGCATCGCGAGTAAAACATTCCCCTTTGCTGACGTTGAGTTACAGCCAAAGAACTCGTCGTGATCAGTAACGACGGTAAATTAAACATAAAATAATTAAGAATCGAGATTTAAAGGATTCAATGGTTTGTTTACGTGGCTTGTTGACGAGTCAGAATTACTAAGAACATATCTTCAACATTTTAAAGTTAATCACAAGGTGTAAAAAAGAATTAAGCTTCAGTCTTCTTTTTCCCTTTGGCTCATTTCTACATAAACGCATTGCTGTGTTGAACGTTTCACAACTAATCAATTACATCGGAGCAATTTTTAAGGTCTTGATCTTCGAGGCATACGTCTGCAAAAATTGACCACGACTCATAACGCTCTGACTCCGACTTCATGTTCTAAAATAATAGCTTCTCAATACTATACGTCAGAACCGTTCTGAATGTGGCTGACACGAAAGCCGACCATTATTTGAAATCACTCAAATGACAAAACCCAATAGTTGACGAAAATGGCCTTTAGCAATTATCCAGAAACGTCTGTTTGTATTAAATAAATTCTATACCGACTACAAACAAATAGATTATTTCTTAAAAGATGGTAAACGAACCGAGAATCAAACAGCAGGCGGTTTCTTTGCGAGCTTCGCCGCAAAAGCCCTAAGCTAAAACATACCTGAATTTGACCGATCAGTAATGTACAATGTACTGACAGTCACATTATCATCAATCAACAATTCGTGTTGTCTTAATCTAAAAGCTCTTAAGTGTCCATGAAATCACACAATCTGATCTGATTATCAGCTGAAAATATCAACACTACAAGTACCACGTATAAACAAAAGTGGCTGGTAAAAAGATTAAAAAATAATCACTTGAATTAAGAGGCGACATAGTTGTTTTAACCAACACGAAAGTGAAGTGAAGTTTTTGGGTAGAAAATTGGTCATAAGCAGTTAAGTTGTAACTGATATGAGCGACAGTGGCACAGCGGGTAATTGTACATTTTCCACAGTGGTGAATATGTAAAAAAGAGGGCATGACACTCTTTTCAAAACTTGAAATGACCGAATAGCGTCGATTACAAAATTCAAAATAAACATACAAAAAGGAAAGGCGTAGAACGTTCGTAATGATGGGTGTTTGGTTGCGGTGCGTTACGACATCCCTGAGAGGTCTTTTTAGACTGTTACAGGCGAGGAGTATCGAGAAATAAAAATAAAAGATTTCTTTTCAGTTCCATTGTGTAAACCAGTAATGTCATACGAGAAATTCATTTATACTAAAACAACTTCCAAGATATCTTGAAGCTTTGAAACTAGCCATAACGCGACAAGCCTTCGACAGTAAACAATAGCGGCAGAAAAGAGAAATGATAAGACCCTACATTAACACGGCAAAATGTTATGGTAACATTCAAGAAGTTAAACCTCTTTATCTATAGACCTCCCTGTATAGTGGCCAACATTTCTGAATGGACGTTTATGCAGGAGAAAAATACAAAACAAAACCACAGCGTGCCATGAAAATAAAAAAGTACCCAAAATTTCTGTTACGTTATAATGTTTTCTTTAAAATGAAAAAGTTACAGAAATCGACACCTCAATTTTGGGGTTAAGTTTATTAACATTTTGCCAACTTCAAACTTTAATTTTTTACTTAACATAATAAGATAGCTCTCATAAGAATGAACTGGAATGACATGACGTGTAAAGTGACGTATGTCATTCCACGCCTCCTACCTAGAGTTTTCTCTGACCCATTTTCTCTGATGTTCAAAAGCTTAAAAAAAACAATTGCTTCCAGAAGTGTCGGCTAATCGTAAGCTTAAATTAACTGTGAGAGGATGTTGATGTAAATTTTAAGGTTGTGGCTCTCAACTTACTCCACCAGTTGTGCGTGTCAACCAACACGAAAGCATCACACCAGGCAACAAACACTTTCAAAATGTGGTCGTTAATTATGGCTCTGGTTTTGCCCCTGATTTTTGGGCAGGATTCATCTGCCTTTATTTGGGAGAGAACTCAGAACACAAAAGTGAATCCCTGGACAAGTAAGTCGGGAAAGAGCAATTTTTCGTTTATACAAACTCGCGTACAGTAACCTGTTAATGGCTGTACAATCGTAAATTCCTTTTCCCACCTCAAGTTAACTCTGGGTGAGGTTTTAGCATTTCATACCTACATCAACGGACGGGTAAACAGAGTTTTCTTTTCTCTACAGAATCAACGTGAATTCTCCGTCATTAACTTTATTTTCAAATGTTATTCCAATGAAATGATGTCAGTTACCAAAATAATCGAGCACGCTAAAACACTTCTTACCGGGTGGCAATAACATTGGGATAAAAAAAACTTTTCTTTTGGGGAAATAGTTAAATTGAATTCCCTTTGTCATTACAGGATACCAGAAAGTTCCACCTGCCCGCGAAACTGCCGACAAGCTGATGAGGTATTTCATGGGCATTGATGACACAGTGCTACGACTAGTAAGAAGGCACCGCAGGTCCATCCCTCAGCTATATGCCCAGTTCGACGCAATATTCATCATTGACTCATCTGGATCGATACGGCGAAGAGATTACTATCGCACGATCAAAGCCCTGCAGCTCCTAACTGGAAAAGCCCAAAATAGCAGACGGTATGCGGCAATAACATTCTCGAACAATGCCACAATCCGTTTTGATTTTACAGAGAGAAAAGAAGCCGTTAACAATTTACGGAAGATACCTTTTGAACGTGGCAGGACAAACACTCAAGACGCGCTTGAAGTGTGCCGAAAGGAGCTAATTTTAAATCGCAAAAGTGGCGCAAGACCTGGAGTCAGAAAGCGAGTCCTTATCATCACTGATGGACAATCAAACGTTGAAAAACACAAGACTTTGTTTCGTGCGTTCCAGCTCAAGATGACAGGCACACAAATCTTTGTCATTGCCATTGGAAAGTACCTTAGAGGAATCTCTGAGATCGTTGGACTTGCAAGCTCTACAGATGCGCATCTCTACCGTGTGGCTGATGTCAACGGACTCCTCCGTGTGGTCAAGATGATTCCGCCGTGGCATCGCATGAGAGAATACATGAGCCACTCCTGGCTGAACGAAATGCTACGTAATAAAGCCTGAACCAGTAACGAGCAGACTTGGCCGAAGACGGCAGGTTAATTTTCCGCCTCTTAGAACAATGCCTCAACGCTCAAAGAAGCCACACTAATTGGTGCATCTTAATTGTTAGCCTTGAAATAAAACTAAAATTGTCATAAACAGGTTCTACCTATCAAAACCTGACCTCATTAACAACTACAAGTAATTTTTTACATACAAAGTATGCTAAAAAAAAAAGAAGAAGAAGAAGAAGAACTAACTTTATCAGTATCCTGTAGTTCTTGTGTCACATTTAGCTTTGAAAAATTGAAACAACGTTAAATCTTTCTTTCAAAAAATCGATCGGGCAGACGAACGTTGAAATATCTGTTTCACACCTAACTGAAAAATGAGCAAGTTAAATGATGGTGTCTTCGCACATTTATCAGAATACTAACACGAAGTGATCTTACATTGATATATTCTACGTGGGCGTTTCAGTCAACAAGAGTATTGATATGTTTTCAAAACAATTCGGCTAGAAAATTTTCAAAATACATGTAAAGAAAGAAACCTAAAAAAGTGCCTTATCATATTGGTTCAATTTCGCGCGTTCCTTTGCATTAGTGACATAGTACGATATCAGGATACATGATCATGACTCAATGAAATGTATTAGCAAAACATCTGATGGATATGCGCCTATTAAGTATCATGCGCAGATCATGTAAAAAGAACAAGAAAAAGGTTGATGTTTCAGATCGGGCTGATAAGAAAAACGACTCTTAGTAGGGTAAAAAAATAACAGTTTTAATTTGCTTATCGGCAGCAATCTGTGGATCCTATGGTAGCTATCAGTCATCGTCGACTAACACTATAATTCAAAAGAAACACTGTCTGATTCTATATAAAACTAAAAGAAACTTCGGTACGTACAGAGCGATTAATTTAAAATATTTTCTTTCGCTCTCGCACCGTTTCTTCATTTTGAGTTTAGATTATTGTACCTGTCTTTAAGTTAGATTCCGTGAAGGTATCCAACAGGAATAAATACGCTCCTAAATCTATTTCAGGATGGTGATGATTGAGATGATAGGTATATTTACAGAAAAACAATTTAACTGCATACAAATTCCTTTTGGAAGGACCAGCGTTTCTGTGTTATAAAGATGAAAAATTTCCGGGGGAGTGCTCCTACAAAGGTTAAAAAGAAAGAAATTGGCCAATGAAGCCTCCCACACGCCACTCTCTCATGGATAAAACCATTCAGTGTTGGTGCAACCTTTTCCACGACTGGCTCCATAAGTGGGAAAATTAGGCCTATGCCTGCTCTGATTCGGGACAGTAAAGCGAATGCATTATGCCGGCTTGGTAAACTGAGCACCTTTTCTTTTACAGCATTAGGGAACCAAAAACAGCGACCGCACGTTTTGAAGACAATCAAAACAAAGAAACAAGAACAGTTTTATCAAATTTTTTTGCATCAAAAATGAAACTCCCTGGTGGCGGTATATTTGGCTATTAAGTAAATCCTATATTGTCTTTTAGGCTTGTTTTCACAAGATGGTTCGCCCATCCATCTTGACCTTACCTCTGGCTAATAAAGTACAATGTAGTCAACCGGATTTTAGGAACATATTTAGCTACGCGTGACGTGGTGACTGATTGATAGTGGTTTGCCGAAAAACAACATGCGTTTCCAGACTCTCATTTTACTCTTTTTCAAAACACTTGAGAATTCCAAACTGATGGTTAAATTAATGTTTATTTGAGATACGATAAAATACGTTATAGTTACGATAAAACGAAATGGAAAAACATATAGGTACCAACCTCAAAGAGAGGTGAAGCGTCAGCTAATAAGAAGTAAAAACAATTTTCACGAGTGAAGTTAAAAAACAGAACTTATCGCAATCATCCCTGGTGACAATGTGGTTTCTCGAGGGACCCAAAAAAATTTTCAACCACTTTCCGTTGAAAAGATATCCGACTACATCTAGCTTCAAGACAATTTCTAAATGTGTGTGAAGAATGTTAGTGCCTCATTTGTGTAAATTGTTTTTTCGAAACAAAAAGATGCGATAAAACTACTTTGGAACCGATATAAAACCTATCGGATAGTTTTTCTCGCGAAAGTGAATGACACCAGATCAAAAGTGGTCATGATCAAAAGTGCAGGTGTTTATTTCAAGATTTGTAAGTGCCGATGTCATCAATTTACGGAAGTTAGCAAAGATAAACCCACTTGCGGTCAAGAATTTTCACTCTTAATCCAATTGTAGTAGTCAAATACAGAGCCCATTAAATATCTGAGGTGAAATACTTTTGAAACTAAACCATTATTAATACTCTGCGATTGTCATTCTGATGAGTCCTTGTTCTAACAAGTCCCAAACCAAGTCCCCAAAAGATATATTCTGTTGAGAGCTTCAAGACCAACGAAGCTGACTTTCTTCTTTGGCGCATCCATTAATCCAAACACCGGTTTAGGGAAGGGATGACTTAAGTTACACGCACAGATTACATCCTGCGTTGAAATCCGAAAACAGAATACATCTCAAAATAATTTTTTTCCTTTGCTGAAAAGTATTAGAAATGAGCTCCTTTCGGTACCAGCAATGCTTATTCTGATCTATGATCTATTGATGAATTTCAGACGTAAAACAGGTGGGAAGTTAGAATACTCACGAACAGATGCTACTCTGTTTTTTAAAACAGAAAACCATATCTATACAAGTGACTGAGTGCACATCTGTATTTGTATTGCACTTATTTATCACACAATCATTTAGGGGCTCTGCCTTTTCTTCTTTCAACATTCATTCATCCTTTATAACACAAATAGATGCGCAACATCTGCTTTTCGCAGAAGAAGACGTACATTTAATCACCTACTGTACTACAATTTGTAATTACTTCATGTGGCCGTGTGGCAGAAGAAATCGGTAGTTTTAAGACAGGAAACAAGAAGTCTCAACAAAGAAGGATGCATAATCGCCAAAAACCATTAGGGTGAAGCTTTGAAGGTATTGATTACCTTAGTCGTATCTTTCGTTCTACTTAATCCTCTATTTCCGATGCTAAGTTCACGAAGACTAAATTTGAACACATCACTCAACTCCATTAATAGCTCCAAGGGTGTGTTATGTGACACACGGAGTGTTCCTCTCGTCATAAAAACAACGGTACATTGTTTCACGTTTCTTCTTACGATGAATATTTCAAAAAACCAAAACATGCAGTTATCTCGCAGTGAGTATAACAAATTTTCACAGCTGTATACACCTCGAAAGGCAGCCTGCCGGTCTATTAAATAGTTAGTAAGGCGTGGTTTCTTTGCAAAACACATCTTAATTTGACCGTGCTTTATGGTCCAGAACACAATTTATGGGCACGCATGCGTCCATAACGTTTGGAAAGGTTTAATGACACGGCTATTACGTCAAAACTGATTTCTGGACCTCAGGGAATAAATTCAACAGATAAATCTTTTTGCTTGCGTATACCAAAGCTCACTAAGAGCAAAAAATTTTTCCAGTACTGAGTACAAATTTCATTGGGAAGGAATAGCCTGCAGATTTTACCTTATATTGACTTTCCTCAGTCGACCTATCAATCATCTTCCAACGAGATTGTGGCTGTGCATATACTTGTACACCACGAGGGAATGGGTCAGGGCTAGCGAATGGGTTTTCGTCGTAAGCGACGAATCAAGAGTACCTTCAAAATTATACCGAACTGCACTCCGCGATGGGAATTAAAAAAAACAAACAAACAAACATCACATTACACTCAAGTTTAATGCAAACATGAGTTATGCCCGACTACACGGCGATAATTCTTAATTTTGGACGCAAAAGTCGTGAAAAGGAGACGGTTCATTGATCTTTAATGTTGCTTGCAAATAAATTGTCCATGTGTACCTTTTCCTTTACGAGCACAGCTCTCAATTGTGATAGGGTCACAATTTCATGTAAAAGTAACAACCATGAACTTTGCACAATGAATGATCCGCAGTTTTTAGCCTTCATCTTATCTTAAAAATAACCAAATCCGATAAAACGTCCTTGTAGATCACACTGGCAATAACTTAAACTGCTCTCCCATTCAACCACTTTAAATTAACCTTCAACTTTTGTAGCAGAAACACAAAGTAAAGGCCTACCTCTCTCCAGTACTTTGAAGACTGAGGGATCAGAAGCGATCCGAATGTATCTCCTACTTCCTCTGGATTCATCACATTGTTTTTCACCACATTTAATAGATGAGTAAATAGCTCCCGCCACAATTTTATCAGTGAAGCTTCCACCAAGGGCCTGAAATGAAACGATAGTAAAAAAAGAGCTCTAAATTAAAACCAACCGAGTGTATGCGACAACTGAAGATGGAAGAAAAAAACAAGTTTTAAGCTTAATTAAATACTTGTGCAAAGATAAGCTTTCACTGCATCTAAATAAGTGCTTATCAGAAAGCTTCATGTATGTACCTGAGTCCATGACAAAGCCGGCGATCCTTTAAAAGAATGGTCGAAAGCCATCGTAATATCTAACACTTTCTACGGCGTGTCAATGGCTGAAAATTTTCGTCAATTTCGCTTGTGAAAAAACTAAGGACAAAACTGCTTTTAACCGGACGAAATTCACGTCCTGAGAACAAGAGAGGACAAAGGGAGCTGACTTTATCCTCTCTTGCCTGAGAAGAAAGAAATTCATTAACTGGTTACGAGAAAGATGTGATCCTTGCGAGTGAAAAAGTAAACTGAAGTCTTCGCTATCGTCTTCACCGCGCTTTGGCGAGAAACGAGACGCGGCTGCAACACAGTTGGCGGGAATGGAATGACAGTTGCCAATTTTGGCGGGAATAAAATGAAGTAATCCCAGCGCTGTATCGACAGAACCATGATAACTTCAATTTACAGTTACACTGTGCACTTCACAAACAAAAGTAGCTTACCTTAGCTCTTTCTCTGTTGCACAGGAGAATCCTTGGGAAAACACTCGGTCCGGAATAAGGCAACCAGCAGGGGAACTGGACACCAAAAGTGGTAACTCTTCAAGAACAATCATGCTGACCGTGTTCGGTTCAAAAGTCTGGAGACTACTGCCAACCTCAACAGCTCTTTCCAAAAAAATTAAACATAAAGTATATGAATCAACTGTTAAACATTCAATTAGGAGAGAAATTTGCAAGATGGAATTTTACAAAAGCAGTAACATGCATGCATACATAGTTTTCCTTCTACATTATTGCACCGAACAGTTTTCCGTCCCTCGCCATTTCATATCACCGCTACCAGTACTTTTTATGCCGATCTTCCTCGATCAAAATTCCTGTACTGTGCCGCTACAAAGATACAGTCAATCCTTTGAAATCATCTTGTCTCGTCTCGAGAGAAACAAGGTTCTTTTCTCCCAACAAAAGACTCTGGTTCATAGAAAGCAACGTTAAGAAAACAAAGTTTTTAACTTTCAGTCTTACACGCATGTTTTTAATGGCCACCAGCATTCACCTGATATGCTCCATGGGGAATGAGAACTTAATAAGTCTGACAACATGGTTTTATGAATGTATTAGTTTTTGGTTGTTCTGTTTAAGGTGACTCGTCCCAGAAAAGAAGTTAGTACTGGCCAAAAGTCTACCTTTCTAATTTGCTATTAGCAAAATAATACAGCACATGCACATGTCTCCGCTTGAAGGTTTAAATGTTAAGTTAAAACATGTTTTAAAACGCTCACCTTATTATCTCTTCTCGCATGTCGGTGCTGCAGCTAGGTGAATGATACAGAGTTTCAGGGCTAAATGACACCTCAACGTCAGCATCAACAGCTTGCAAAAGACACAAGAATCCATCTAAACTCACTGATGGCTTTATCTCCACGTGTGTCATCTCAGCCTGTACCTCAGGTTTAACATCACCTACAACTTCGTCTCTACCCGCATCCTCTCCATCTTCTGCATTGTCACTAACATGTAACCGCTCAGATTTTTCGGTGACTTTTTCAACACTGCTTGGAGGTTTCTCCTTGACTTTGTCATGCAAAGGAATATCAGCATCACTGTCGTTGTCCGACGGCACGGACTCTGGGATATGCTCACTGATGTCTTCAGTAAAGCTCTTACTATTGTCCTGTACAACAGCAGGTTTACTTGGACTCGCAGAAAATTCTAAATCCCCGCTCAAGGTAGCATCTTTTTGGGGTTCATCGACATTTTTGTGCTCTATCTGAGAAGGAACGTAAGATATTCCACCCGCATCACCTCCATCTGGAAGGCTAAGATCACTTAAATCCAAGCTTTCCTCGTCATCGCTTTGCTCTCTAACTTTATGTAACTCTTGAGGCGTGCCAGGCGCTTCAGCAATTCTTTCCTCAATCTTTGCATCAACTGACTTGACTTCCATCTCTTCTTGCGGCCTTCCGTTTGACATCTCCACTGTCTTTACTGGTTCAACCTCGGGCTTCGAAGCCGTCTTGAAATCAGCTGATCCCTCTGCCGGCAAACTTTCATTTTTCAACACAGATTCCTTCTCTGGCTTATCTGTTAAAACATTTGGAGTAGCTTGGGACGAGGTCGGTGAAATGGCAGAATCATCCTCTCTAGTCTCTAAGTGATGTTCTTGATTAGTATTTACTACAGAGGTACCACTGGCTGGTGATGACAGTGGAGGATTTTTCAAACTCGACATAGGATTGCTCCTCTCTAAAGGTTTTTCAGGAGTAACAAATGATTGACTAATGGTGGCATCCTCTGGGGGGAGGTGTTTGGTATCTCGAGCAGACTCCAGACTATTTTCCATGACTGTTCTTTTGGGTAAACCACCAACGAAATCCTGAAAAAGTTATAGAAAATATTTCAATCCAAAACAACCATAGTTAATAATTACTAAATGAAATTAATGTTACAGTGAAGAGATTCTAAACTTCAAGCATAGACTCAAATTTGGGACTGAATTGCCTTTCCTTCACTTTGCTGTTATTTTATTGGTCTTGCAACCAATCAGATGGAAAACTAAAACCAATATTGACTTAATCAACTGAGTTTTCCACAATTTGGGCAGTTTTCTGGTTTTTATTTTGGATTCTCATGGTCTCCTTGTGATACATTTACCTTGGTTCCAATTGGCCTTTGTCATCACAATGTACGTTGGTTTTGGTTTTTTAACCCTCACCAAAATGCCTTCTGTTGTTGCCACCATTTTTGTACAAAGGTACCAGGTTTACATTCAGGTGCATTTGCATATACAAGCATAGAGAGGAAAATTTCAGAACTGAAAAAACCTTACCTTATCAACAAGTGAGTCATCTTCCCCATTGAAAACCTTTCTATTCACAGCAGCTGGTTTAAATTCAGCCATCCTGTGATCTGCAGAACCTCTGTAACCCTGTCCCATTCCACCTTGATCATAATGTTCATGGTATCCATACTGTTCATAAAGTCCTGGATGGTTTCTGTGCCCCAGGTGTGTCCTTTGCAGCTCTGTTCTTGGTTCATAAGATGTTGCTTCCTGGGATCTGGGATGTGAAATATCTGAGTACATAAAACTTGATGTAGGAGGACCATTTCTGGGAATGCTGATCTCTCCTGGGTGTGGTCGTCTGTCATAAAACTGATCACCTGGTGATCCAAAATAGTGATCTGGTGACCTGTACTGTACATTTGTAGGGCCTCTGTTGCTTTCTGGCATCTGACCTTGATGTACTCTATTATCCAAAGGTCTTTGTGAGTCATAATATCCAGGACTTTCCCATCTACTGTCAGAGGGATAATATCCAGTTGGTGGCAGATTACCACCATTTGGGTAAGAAGGCCCATGATAAGCAAAATGATCATGAGGATGGCGACGATCAGCTGGATAATTTGTTGTGGGAGATGATCTGTTGTAAGCTGTAGGTACTGAACTGTGCTGGTTACTCAGAATGCTTCCAGGTAATGGAGTGCTCACAGAAAATTGTGGCTCAAGTCTAGATTCTCTTAAGGATGAGGTCAAAAGTGCTGTGCTAGGTCCCTACAAAAAAATAATTGTTTATTAACATTTCATGTTAACTCAGGACTTAGATAATTGAGTATTTAACTTAAGAGTAACTTACGCTTCTTGCTGGTTCATTTTTGTTTTGATGTTGACTTAGTCTGTAATTCTCCAGTTCCTCTTTCCATCTTGGATACATCTTATTGATGTAGTTTTCATATTGCTCCTAAAAATGTGGAAGTTACTAAAAAAGTTACTTTCAAGCTCTACAATTGTCACAAAAGGAAAGTGTAATTATTTGTATTAGAAAGGATTGTTTTTTTATAGAATGGAATCACTTATATGTAGGCTCAAGGGATCGTGGTCAATGTGAGGTTGTTATCACTATTGACATCCCCTTCATCTGAAATTTTTAAAATAATTATAATAATTATACCATAACAACACAGAACTTAAGTGTCACCTTATAAGCTTTAAGCCTCTCTGTTTTTACAGCCAGCATAGCAGCATGTTGTTCCACCCTTTCAAAATCTTTCAACAGTTCTCTATTTCTTTCCTTGCTCCTCTTTTCATGATCACAGACTTTTTTCCACTGAATTTCTAGTCTGTTTGCTTCCATTTTGCTCCTGAGAAAAGAAGAAATACAGAGCTGACCAAAGTATAATTATGTGCAGTAAATCAAGGAGACACTTAACATTCTGGACAAGCTTAGAGTTTGAATAGTAGCTCTTGGACCAAGGTAAGTTCCACCAGTAATAAGCCACTAGACTTGAACGCTCTCACGCACTTCACTTACATTTTCTGGCTGGAACTCAGTCGTGACATAAAATTGGTGTCAAGTGAACGTGACTTGTCAGCTGAACTGGATACTTCCATCGTGTTACACCTGCAGAAGAAAAGCCAAATTACCAAAACAACTCCGTCACTTTGGGTTCTCAAAATCAAGTTGAAATCGCTGAACATAATTCAGAGAAGATCGATTAATGATTCGACTCTCGAGGACTTCAAATTATACTTGCAACAAAATGTTAGAGCAAAGCAAAAATTTCATCAAAAACTAAAAAAATTGATAAATCAAATGTAGCATGAAAATCACAAACGATCGACAGCTCAGCTGAGTCCTGCTTCGATTCGATCGTGCGTTGCTATGGCAAGCTGTAGAGACAACTAAAAGTCAGCTGTTGAAGTACATAATCATACGCCATCACGCAATCTTTTCTACTCTCAAAATAGCAGTCTTACCTTTGCCTTAAAAATCACACAGATCTGTAACTCTAGGGGGAAGATTTTTTGTTTCCTTTCTCTAGAATGCTAACTTCCCTCTGATCCCAGTCCGCCATTTTTCCAAATCTTGCAATGTTTCCATATATGGAACCTAAGGCTCCAGGCCTTTAGGCGGTCGGTAAAAGCTAGGGGCTTTTGAACGCCTTGCTGTATTTGACCAATTATTCATAACAAAAAAGCTCAAGGAAGTATATTGGAATTTTTAGCGATCTTGATTTTAGTGGTCGTCAAGTTATAGTCAACTCTTTATATATAAAGTCCCATATGTCTGCGAACGAAGGTGAGTGCTGTTAAGCGTATCAAGCGTTTTAAAATACGCTATCGTTGAGAGGAAGCCCTGTTCGTTTCGTATCTCTCTCCGATCCCCGCATGATGAATTATATCAGGTAGTTTTTGAAGCTTGGGTTCTTCTGGAGCTCAGAATGAATGAAAAAATGACTTTTCGCTGAAATTATTTCCCGGATAAATTATATACTTCTTGCAGTGAGCCTCATGGTTCGGTAGCGTCGATGCTGTTGTGTTACGCATCATATTTCGAATATTACCTGAGTTTGTTTTAAAATTAGTGGTGGTTAAGTAATTTTTTTGTATAGTTCTCTTTCCTAAGTCCACCAGATAACCAACAAAGTACCTTTCCAATTATGTCGGCTAAGTGTCTAGTGTGGGTCATCACGCTCAATTTGAGAAGTTGACGATAAATTATATTTTGTTATGATTATTTCACTAGCAAATTGCATTCTTAGATAGAGATTTTTAATTTGTAAGTTAATGTCTTCAGATACTCCTCCTCCAACTGAGAAGCCAGATGATGATGGCAGTGGAGCTACTGGAGGGAAAGAAGAAGACAAGCAGGAAGATGAGAGTGATTTGAGTGAGTATTTTACATTTAGGTAACTAATATATAAAACTGTTGCACAACTGATGCAATTAGCACCTTCACACAAGCACTCAGTAATGTACACATGTACTGTAATTAGCATATCAGCAATCACACATACCACCTACATAAATCTGTAAACATTATGTATTTGACTGATTCAACGTAGGACACAAAGCTAAATGTTTAACAAAGTCACTTGTAAAATTTTTTGTTGAATACTGATCATTATATGATAACCTAGGATGAGTTTAATGTACACCAACATCATGCCCATTTTGGCAGGAACTATGTAGGGAAAAAAATTAGGCAAAATAAGGTAGCCAATCAAAACAGATGAAGGATTCGCTTCATTTTACCCCTCACGGAACTAGACCTGTGTCGAAAACAGAAAAAAATTTACCATGATAATGATTGGATGTTACACACCCCATTTCCTTATCTCTCACCCTCAATACTGTGCCAGATATTAAGTAAAGAATGTTTGTCTTTTATCACCTTATGGTCAACCACGTCCTTTAGCTATACTTGGCTGCATGAACTATCATACAGTCTGTGGCCAATCAGACTAGCAGCCATGGATAAAAAGGTAACTGTAGTTATACCTCTGGGTATGAAAACTTTCAGTTTGATATAAAGGTGCCTTGTGATCAAAACTGAAACTGATGGAGCATTCCATTGAGCCTAGATAAGACCAACTCTAACATCTGTACCAATAGTCAGTTCAATCTGATTATACTATAATTTTTTCTGGTTTCAAAAATAAACTTTCTACCAGCTTCCATGATCAGCAATTGTCACATAACATAAAGAAATGATTCAAGTATTGCTGTTTGCTTGCTAATAAAATCCTTAGATTTTCTTCAACGGTTACTGGCCCAGTTAAAACCACCAACCGCCAGTGAGGGAGTGGAAAAAGAAAAACCAGAACAATTATTAGAGGAAGTCACATTTGAAGGAGTTGCAAATTATATCAAGAAAGGGAAATGTAAGTACAAAAAATATTAACTTGCATTCGAATATATTGTAGACCAAGTGGATCACAGTACTTTCAAGCTTACATTTTGCTTTTAAATCAACACCCCTGGCATGGTTTTTGGTCTGCCAAGTTCTTTGTCAGTTTTCCTATTTTTTTTCTTCATAAAATCTGTAAATTGCTATGGGTATGGTCAGTTATTCTGAAGTTCCTTGAAAAGAAATAACTGGAGAACTTTCTGACAAGGATTATTTTTTGCTATATGCATGATTTGACTTCTAAAACTTTGATTTGATAGTCTCTCATCTCTCAGCTGTTACTAAACAGATTATGGCACAGTATTTTTAAGTACCACAGATGTGGCCCTGGGATGTATGACATTACCTTAACCATTTAATCCCTGAGTGACCAGCATCTAATTTCTCCTTTCAATATCACCTCTGAATCAAACAGTAAGGTTACGAGAATAAAGGAAATGATAATCAACTGAAGAAACTCTTGATTGTTAAACAAATTCTCCTTGCCAGCACATTAGGAAATGTATGGAGAACAGTATGGAGAATATGCATACTGATGTTAGGTTGTAAAGGGTTAAACAGGAATACTTTTCTTTTGCAGGTAAAAATATAATTGTAATGACTGGTGCAGGCATCTCAACTGCTGCAGGGATTCCAGACTTTAGATCTCCTGGTACTGGTCTCTATGACAACCTGCAAAAATATGACCTACCCCACCCCCAGGCAGTATTTGAAATAAACTTCTTCCAGGTAAGTTATGTAAGTCTGGATAAAGGCACACAGGTGTCATTAAAAATGTAAAAATTTGAAGATGTTCTTTAGCTACTGATTTTTCAGACTGACAATTACTGAGCAAGAAAGAGTGTGAGCCCCCTTGCTATGTGCTGACCATGATATAGCCATTTACCCTTTCACTCCCAAGATCCAATCAGTAATTCTCCCTTCTGACTTTACATTCCTTGGGAGCTAGATTGGAGAATTTGGTCTTACATCAAGATAACACCTTCCAGATGATCAACCTCTCAGTTCCTAAAACATGTCAGCCAGATATTGTACTTGAATTGCAAGGAGAAATGACATGTTTATCACCTGTAGGTGTTTAAGGATTTGCAGTTATTGTGCAGTAACAGTTATGTATCATTTTCAAGAGCATGGTTCTATTCAATCAACAGTCAAATCCAGAGCCATTCTTTATGCTGGCCAAAGAGCTGTACCCTGGATCATTTAAAGTAAGCAGATGACATCAGTACAGTTTCAAAATGTATTTTACTCAGTTTCTATTGAATAAGTCTACAGCTATTTTTTTGGTTTATTGCTAATATTTAAATCACATGATGAGCAGAGTAAGAGAAAAATGTCAATAGTGGTGATGATCGAAAACCAAATGTTAAAATTTAAATATGTTTTTGATTATTTCTTCTTAGCCAACAATTTCACACTATTTTATCAAGTTATTAAGTGACAAGGAGTTGCTGTTACGTAATTACACTCAGGTAAGAATTGCATTTGTCATTCTGTACATTAAAATTTAATGACCATGCAGACCAACATGTCTACAGTAAGTCAAACTCATGCTGGTATTTATTGTGTACTTGGACAAGACAATTCCCAGATGTTACAACTAAATATTCTCACTGTTCCTGTCTTCACTAAGCTGCAGTGAAAGGGTTGACAGGAATATTGTTCAAATTAGTTGGAGGTCCACTTTACCTACTGGTAGTTTGAAAAACTTCTCATCCAGTAGAAGCGGCAAAACTTTCAGTCACAGGCATACATCTTATAACTTGTTTAACAGCAAGAAGCTTTCAGTTTATGTCAGCATTATTGAAATATTCTCAGTTAATGCAAAACAATGGAAAAGATGCTTTAACAAAAATTAAGGATTCCAAGATAAACTTAGCTTGCAATATCTGCGACACATTGCTACTCTGATTTAGTATGAGGTGCCACATTGTGAATGAGGTGACACTTCAAAAGAAAATCTTGCATTATTTTTCTTAGAGAAATGTTTTCTCCTGATTAATTTCCTTAACAGAATATTGACACTCTAGAACGAGTGGCAGGCATCCCACAAGAGAAACTTGTCGAAGCACACGGATCTTTTCACACAGCGCACTGTTTGGATTGTGTAAAAGAATATTCTCATGAATGGGTCAGAGGTACATGGGTCTGATCATGCAATAAAATTATTTATTGATAATTTGGTTATAAAAAGACATCAATTTATATTTAACCACTGGCTCTACATGTTTCTCCTACTTTAAAGCTGAACTAAAAAGCCATAAAAAAGCAAACTGTAAAATGAGATCTGTAAAGACCAAGTAAGAGACATAATCATTTTTAACACTTTCTTAAACGTATGTTCTTCTCTCTACTTCTAAATCTACTTCTATATGTGAAATATATTACACATGCCTTGTTTGTTTTGCATCTTAAAAATTCCTCAGTATTTACTGGATCTGAAAAAGTACATGGAAGGATGCATATCACAAATTTTTAAACAGAATATTTATTCAGTTGAATATTGTTACTTTTACTTACAACAACTTGAGTAGGGTCTTTTTCAGTTAATTCCTCTCAGACTTAGAAAAGGCTGACCACTTTTTTAGGCATGGTATCCCTTCACAGCTTAATGCCTCCTTTTATGTGTGTGTGTTTTTGTTTTTTTTTTCAGATGAAGTATTTGCAGACAAAATACCTACTTGCCCTGATTGCAAAGGAGTTGTAAAACCAGGTTTGAAGAAAATAGAGCTGTTTATAATAAATTAATCTTAAAGGTAGATTTTTTCAGCTGTGATATATGCTTGCTGCGACAAAGAAAAGTCCATTTTTTTTCTTTCTTTTTTTTTTTTAAGTATTAGTAATGTTAGCATATTTTTTTTTGGTGAAACATTAGTCACATGATCTTCTCACAAAGTACATAAGAAGGCTAAGTATTTGGGAAATGATAATTTGAACAAACCCACCTTGCTAAATCAAAAATTAAATCATGGGGTGACTGGCAGAGAGGTTTGCTTGCGCCAACCAAAGCAGGGGTCATTTTAGAAAGTATCAGTAACAGTACACATTTGGGTTGTTTTCCATTAAGCCTTGCCCATTTTAAATTACTCTGCTGCCTCTGTGTTTAACATAATGAAAGTCCAATGTAATGAAAGATCAATAAAAGAGATAGGTTGTTTGTTAGAAACATATTGACA